ACGACAAAGGAAGAACAGGAATTTATCGATGGAGAAATTAAGAAGATGCTGTGTGAAGGAATTATTCAAGCATCTGATAGTCTATAGGCATCACCTGCAATTCTTGTAAAGAAAGCAAATGGAAAGAAAAAATTATATATTGATTATAGAGGACTTAATAAACTCACAAAAGAAGATGCCTATCCTTTGCCTAAAATTGATAAAATTTTAGAAAACTTAAATAGAGCAAAATGGTTCTCAACATTTGACCTAGCTAGTGAATTTTGGCAAATTGAAATGAATCCTAAGGATAGAGAGAAAACTGCATTCGTGATTAGAAGAGGACATTATGAATTTAATGTTATGCCTTTTGGTTTATGCAACGTCCCAGCAACCTTTCAGAAAACAATGAATAAAGTATTAGAAGAATACATTGACCGATTTATAGCAGTTTTCATTGATAATATTATCGTTTATTCAAACAGTTTTGAAGAACATTGTGGACACCTTCAAATGCTTTTTCATAAGCTAAGGAAAGCAAATTTAGCATTGAATAAGAAGAAATGTGAAATATTCAAAAGAGAATTACATTTCTTAAGATATAAAATTAATGAATATGGAATCTTACCAGACCCCAGAAAATAAAAAAAGTTCAAGAGTTCCCTATACCAAAGAATGTGAGACAAATTAAAGGATTTCTTGGATTAGTATCATATTACCGAAAATTTATCAAGGATTTCTCAATAATTGTCAAACCTTTGAATAACTTGATGAAGAAGGGAGTTGAATATGATTGGACTAAAGAATGCCAAAATGCATTTGAAACCTTGAAAGGAAAACTGACACAAGCTCCAATATTAGGATACCCAGACTTTGATAAAATGTTTTATCTATTCACTGACGCCTCAAGAATTGGATTAGAAGCCATGTTCGCATAAAAAGATGATTAAGGAAAAGAAAGTAATTGCCTATGCAAGTAAAACCCTTAATATATATGAACAAAATTATAGTGCTCAAGAATTAGAATGTCTAGCGATCAACTGGGCAGTTGAATATTTTCATCACTACACTTCCTTAAAACCCTTTATCTTAGTAACTGATAATGCAGCATTGAAATGATTATAAACTTCAACTGTGAAAAATTGAACTAAAAGAGCTAGATGGTTATTAAATCTTCAGCAGTATACATTTCAAGTTCAACACCGTTCAGCAAATGCTGATGCTTTATCTAGAATTAATCCTGACAATAATAAAGATTCTGATGAAATTATAGAAACTTACATGATTTCTGTACAAACTGATGAAAGCTTTGATAAATCAGAAGAAAAGGAAATCCAATGGTATATCTCTTCACCAGAAAATAGCATAGAAGAAAATGATAGCGAATCTTACTTTGAACAAGAACTGATGAATCAATTTAAAAATCACTTGTTGATTACTGTTGGATACTAATGTCCAAAAGATGAAATAATTGAAATTTACAAGGAAAACATTAAAGTCAAGCAAGTAATTGCAAATCAACTAATCACCAAAGGAGGCTCTAAATGCACTGACTTTTGTGATATTGAAAATCATCACATTCACACGTATTGCAAGGCATGCAAACGTAATTTAC